GGATTGAAAACTTACAACAAGGTTCCACCTAAGTAGGTTATTCTGTAACCAATAATTCTCAAAATTATAAAAACACAGTTTTTTTATAGTTATTATAATTTAAAATTTGGAGGAAATTACATATCAAATAACCAAGAATAATGGTTCTAGTAATATTATTTTATAATATTAATTCAACTTACCGCCTACTGTATTAAGAATAAATTTTAAAATTATAAATATATAAAATAACCACACTGACAAACCGTCACCGTTCAGAATCGTTTTTCGTATACAATGACGTTATATCATTGAATTTAAATTTAATATCATCCATTATACGGCGACTCACTTCACACTTGTAACCTACTGTACAACAGAGCAACATTCACTTAACCACTTTTTTAATTTTATATTTTAAATAGGTGTTACCTTGATATATATGTATATATTTATATGCAAGAAATTAATATAGAGAAAAAAATATTACTATGAGAATAGGAGTATGACATACCTTTTAGAATGATGCTATAATTACTAAACCTAATATGGCAGATTTGACCCATCAGGAATACAAAAGTATTTCTGATGGATTGACTGCTTTATATGAAATAAGTTGTTTTAAATTGTTTTCTTTTTTTTCTAATTATTGTAAATAATTAGTAAATAATATTTTTGATAAATAAATGGAAAATAAAAAATACCACTATCTTGACAGTATTTTAATCTTTGGATGTAACTTACCTTAATTTTTTATGCAACTGAATAGTATTCACTGTATTGTGTATACTACTATACATAATAGTATCATATAATATTATAATAAAATTGATAAATAAATTAAGATACTTAATGTTTTTAATAATTCTACCACTGGATGGCCACCTTCCTCATATTATGCATGTAAATAAAAATCTGTAATCATATTTGCCTATTATGCATGTAGCATAGATTGTTAAATAATACTACATCGGCCCCAAATTGTTAGGTCAAAAACAAAGTTGAAATTGTTTAATACATATATTACCTAACCATGACTATGCAGTATGCATACTTTTGAACATATGATTTGTTAAGTTAAAATTAAATGAAATTAAGTTCTTAGATAGAAATTATTATATATTTTAGAACATTTGAAATTTTGGAATAGGTATTGAAAATTAATTATAATGACACTTTTGTCTTTCCCAAAAACTAATATTGTAAAGAACAAAGCTTACTAGAATAAATCATGGATATAGTTATTTGTATGATACTTCTAAATCTGTTTCCTCAGCTGCTTGTAATCAATTACAGTGAACAATAATACAATTTATTTGCTTATTAACAGTGTTGTATAAATAAATTTCAGCAAAAAGTATTTGAGTAGTGTTTAATGTACTGTTAAAAAATAGTATTAAAAAAAGGTTTTTTTCTGATGTATTAAAATTTAAGTATTATATACTCTTTCTTATTGTCAATGAAAAATTAGTAGGTACTTACCTAAATTGTATTACTTAACTAACAAATGGGATTTTGTTTTTTTTTATTAAATTTTTTCCTCATTTTAAATATCAGAATCACTTTGTTAGAGGATTTAGACGGCTAAACTTTAATTATTTAGAAAATAATAGTTTAAAAGAATTAACCATTGTACTATTTTTAAAACATTTCAATTAGTAAGTTAAGTTAACATAATTTTCAAAAAAATTCATTAAAAAGATATTAAAATAAGTTATAATCACTTGTATAGTATTATATCTATAAAAGTTGAAAGTATCAACCTATGGATATATATATATATATATATATATATTTAATATATGTATAATTTAAAACCTGTAGGGCAGTATCATTTTAGAATTCTCTCTGGGTTCATATAAAAATAAATATTGTGTGTAAAAGTGCTTCTGTATTTAACACATTTTATAATTAAAAAAAAAAATACACAACAATTTAAAACTTATAAAAAACGACTATATTTCTACTTATAAATGTGGTATATATACATATATATATATATATATATATATATATATATATACAGCGTGATTCTTTTATCAAACAACACTCATTATTTCAAAAAGTGTAAATTTTTTTGAAAATTTTTTTTTTTTTACATAGTTTCAAGTCGCTTATAAAACAACGTTTTTATTAAAAAATTATATTTTTAAATATTTTTTATCCTTATAATTTTTTAAGTTTTTTACTTTTTTGAATAACAACATAGGGTTTTAATTTTATATTCCAAAGCAGAATATTTTTCTTAGTATTTTGATACATGAAAATCGAATTTGGGTTGAGTAGTTTATGAGTTATAAGTATTTAAAGTTTAGACGAGCGGAGTGGAGTGGTTCAGGGTTACCCCGCGAAATGTTTGTCCACTTCACCACTCGTCTAAACTTTAATTACTTATAACTCATACACTACTCAACCCAAATTCGATTTTCATGTATCAAAATACTAAGAAAAATATTCTACTTTAGAATATAAAATTAAAACATTATGTTGTCATTCAAAAAAGTAAAAAACTTAAAAAATTATAAGGATAAAAAATAATTAAAAAAATAATTTTTTAATAAAAACGTTGTTTTATAAGCAACTTGAAACTATGTAAAAAAATATCTTCAAATATCACTTTTTGAAATAATGAGTGTTGTTTGATAAAAGAATCACCCAGTATATATTATAACATTTGTATTTTACAACTAGTTTATTCTAAATATCTATTACATTTTAAGAACAGTGTAAACTGTATGAGTTATGGTATGAATGTTTAATACACTATTTTTTTTTTATATATATTATATACACCAGTATTAGGTAGGTAGGTATTTTTGAAATAAAATTATAATATAAAGTATAATGTATAAATCTAAAAGGTCTAAATTCACGATTATCGTACAATAATAATTGTAGGTATTAAATATTAATAAATAATAAGTAATAACTAATGAGTACTTGCTCAATAAGTAGGTAGGTATTAGGTAAGTAGGTATTATGTATCAGGGCTTTGTGGGCTTGTATCTATTGATGTCTTTATACGGGCAACTCGATAAATATTATGTTACATTGTTACTTTTATATTATTAGTACATAATTAATACGACATAATATGAGTTTTTATTTATAAAAATATGTTCGAAATTCTTTGTAAATAATATATATATATAATATCTAATAATATAAAAATATTTTATACCTACTGCATTGAAATAGAATTTAAAATGTATTCAGATCCCTGTTGGTAGATAGTTAGGTTAGGTTAGAAATTTAGGGAGAATTAATATAAGATCTAGTTAAATTATAAACTTTACAATTTATAGTCTTGAATAGGTTAGCATATTAAGTACCTACTAGTATATTAGCATATTAAATATCATAGAATAACACTATTTCACCTTTAACCCTAACATGCATATTTAAATAATAAAAAAATCTGGTAATTGGGTAACACTCCACTGTACATTAGGTCCCTGTCACTAAAAGATGTGTTAAATTTGAATTTAATAATATTTGTATACAAAAAACGATTCTGAGCGAAAACAGTGTGTCAGCCTATAATTGTATGATACTATTGTGATTAAAGTAATTTATTTTACAATTAGGCATTAGTACTAAATGTAAGTTAAATTAATCATTGCAAAAAAAAAAAATGAATTTGAAAATGTTGTTGTGTATATACTATTTAGTGTATTCAATACAATAATGTAGGTACTCCAAAAGTCTCAAGTACCCACAAATTTTATTTAACGGGCTTAGCCCTTTGACAAAAATGTAAACACATATAAACAATCTTATGGTAACAGCAAGGAAATAGTATTATTTTACAATCAGATAATACATAAATAATGTATATGTGTACAAAAGATCAATATAATAATGTACTCTAAAAGATTAAAGTACTGACGAATAATATTTTGAAATTACAACAAAATAACTAAAATCTTTATTCTTGGTTTTAATATGTGATTTTGTCCAAATTTGAAATTAAAATAATTGTAAAAAAGAACTGTTTACATATTTTTTTAGATACTGTATAAACTAATTATGAGAAACCTTATTTTAAATTTCCAATCAACGTTTTTACTGTTCTGAAAGGTGATGACAGACAAAAAAAAGAACACTTCATTGTAAAATCAATTGCTCCTATCAGAACTTAATATATTTAATTCGTACGTATGTACAATAGATATTTTTAATTTTATATTGTACAATGGAACATAAAGATTGAAGATATTTACTTTATATAACCAATATATAACATTAAAGGTTTAAATTAAGTAGATTATTGTCCTAAAATGCCCTGTCACTCATCACTCCTGATTTTATATTAATTTCCGTTAAATATTTTACCAAATAATTAAATACACATTATGAAATTTAATTGAAGTGATTAGCATGAAAGCCTACCATTTGTTAAACATATATATTATATTTATATCATGTATGCCGTATGGAGTATATTTATAGCGATATCAATTTTAAAATTATACTGCGGCCCACGAGAGAGCATTACGGTTTTGCGCATAAGGACTGAATAGTCATTCCCCCACTTTGTGCCATTTAGTGTATGTAAAATACTTGGCGATGCGCAGAATCATACGTGTTTTCGTAGGGCGACAACAATGCTCTCTCGTGGGCCGCAGTGTAACCCCGTTTTCATTCTATAATTAGTACTATAAAAAATTAATTTGAGGTTAGAGTTGCCATGAAGTTTTAAAGGTTAACCGTTCTTAGATATGCCACGAAACAAAAAAAACAAAATGGCCGCCAGATGACGCGCAGCACGATGTGCGCACCATCGGCCCGAATACGAGATAGGTAAAATGTTAATTTTTCGAGAACCTCGTCAAGTTTATCTAGGTTCTAAGTCTACGTCCTAATACCAAAATATATTAACTAAACAGTGTAGCCATTCGCAACAATTTCATATTCAAATAACCAATTTGTAGTTATTCATAAGTGCCCCCTACATAGTAATTATCAAGTAATAAATATCATGATGAAATGTTACAACCGTTATTGTGACGAATACGTACCTATAAGGCATTGTGCTGAACGGCGAATTGTAGCGTCGGCGGATTGGATTATTTCAACGACTTGCACAACTTATTACGCCAGCAACGAGCAGGAACAGCGAGCGACGAGTGAACTCGAAATGATCGCCGTTCGGCACTCGCAGCCGCCGACCATAGTCACCGGGCCGCGTCGTACGCGGTGGAGGGGAGCGCCTCGTCGGCAGTCGTTGTCTAGAGCGCCTGCGTATGGGCCACATATGTATGCGTCGGTTACCACCGCGCGCCGGCCCGCCCGCCAAGCCTTTCGTAATCCTTTCGACCTCCGCGTTGAAAATAGTTCACGTCCTCCGTACGCTCAACTGGGCGCGGCCTCGACGGTCGTTTCCCCGCAGCAGCTGGTGTCGGCGTCGCGTTCGTCGCGTATTTACGACGGTTACCGCGCAGCACACATATTTTTATATAAAAATATTATTAGTAACTACTGTGACGCATATTTGACATCCAATTCGGTCGGCTGCGCGCTGCCGGTGAGCTGCGCTGGCGCCACGCGCTGTGCGCACCAAACGATTTTTTCATTATTAATTAATGTTTCAATCGCTCGACGGTTTAAACAGCCACGTCGACCAAGGAGCAACCGGTTTCGTAAGTTTTCCCCTTCTATGCGTCTTTGAGGCAAACCCTCCAAATACTTAATTAGGGTGTGTGTGTTGGTACCAGGTATGTGGTACGATGACGATTCGAAACCTATGTAATATATTATATTATGAACCAATGAAAAAAAAGGTGGCCGTTATATTTAATAACAATACGAAAGGTTAAAAAAATTTTTTTTAACAATAAGACGTTTCATTCGCTGGTTTCAACTGGAGAAACTATACAGTTTGCAAACGGAGCCACTTGTTTTAAGGTTTAATGTCAACTGGTCATTGGCCTTTTAATCGAATGCCCATGACATTTTCATGGAATACATTATTATTAAGAGATTTTGTTGATTGCCATATCATTTCGATGGGTGTACCACAGCTTCAGATTATATGGTTGCGTAACGATCTTCGTTAAAGCGGCGTCAAATGTTCTTGTCAAATTATAAAAAAACTTGCTAATTGTTATATTATTTCAGCGAAACCTGTGGTGTAGTGACTATAAAAAAAAGTCGCGGAAACGAAAAATGAGCGTTGGTACCGCGACCCGTTGCTTTTACCCACTCTTACGGCCAATGACTCTCAACATAGTGCAGCTGTCGTGCTGCACTGCTGCTATGTAGGGCTTTTCGTTTCAAAGATTGATAACCACTACTAATAAACTGCCGCTTGGCGCATGACGGTCAGCGCTCATTTTTCGTTGCCGCGACTATAGTGGTTTTCTATACCCGCGATCATGTTCTATAATATTATATGTATATTATGCATAAACTTATAGTGAAAACATATGATCCACTAGAAGCGCTATCTGTGAGCTGGCTTTTGTCTAATATGATAAGAATATTTGACGCCGTTGTTTTTATGCAGGCTACAGCCTATAATCATACTCAATTTAAGAATGGACAATAGACCAATAATAGACCTTCATAAGAAGAAAGTGAACATTTTGATGTTTTGATATTTTTAAAGGGGTCATATCATTTATATATCCAACTATAATTAGGTAATGATAGAACCCCTTAGTGAAATGAGTGCGTTGTAAAAAATCAGTCTGCCTCTCATCCACATTATGAACCAATACTCCTTAATTTTTGTGAATATAAGGTTGGCAAAACTATTTTATCATTGGATCACTTAATTGTATCGAATTTAGCCTTGGGACTAAATATATTTACTTCACTACTTAATATTATATGCCATGTTTCTTGTGGAAAAATAAAACTAGTTGATCATGGAAAAATATAAACGATTAATTACGTAATATTTATGAAAACATTTAAGGTCGTAAATGAACGACAAAGGTGGAAGGAAGTAATCCTTTTCTTTTTTAAAACGGAATGAATTCGTTTTTTTTTTAAAAGAACGATGAACAGAATGAATTCCTGCTGCTTAAAAGTTAAAAGTAGTTTTATTGAATTTTATTTTTATATACATTGATAAAATCATTAAATCATAGAATCAATAATTAAAAATATAATTATTATTATTGTTGTTTGCAAAATTATTCAAAATCGAATGATTTGCTACACTTACATAATACATATTTTCTTACAATTTTAAAATTATTTTATTTTTTATTTAGTATAACTTAAATATAATACGAATATTTTTTTTAAGCAATTCCTATGAACCATACAATTTTGAAAATATTGTGATTCTTTTTGAGATATTTGTAATCATAAGAAAATTAATAATTTCATTAGTTTGTTTTTAATTATTGTCTCTAATTATTAGCTATGTCAAAAATCGAATACAAGATTCCTCATAAGTTGTATTAGTGGAAATTAAAAAAAAGTTGAGAGCAGTAAATCTACAATTAATTGGCGTCTGCAGTTCAAATATTGACAATATTTATCAAAATTATATATTATTTTGTATTTTTGTAGTTAAAAATTCATAAGATATTCAATTTTTATAGCAAAGAATTAAAAATTTAAAACAAGGATTCATTAAAGATAATAGTTCATACTATAAACAAAAATCTAAAACAATATACAAATAGTTCTTTATTACAAACATTTTAAGCTCAAATTTGGAAGAAATTAGGTAAAATAAGAATAGAGATTTTAGTTATGTTGTTGTAATTTAAAAAAAGGTGCTCTGCTGTACAGTAGGTTACAAGTAGGTCATTGTTAATGGTTAGTATTAAATTTGAATTCAATGATATAATATCATTGTATAAGAAAAACGATTCTGAGCGGAGACGATATGTCAGTCTAGGTATAAGACATACTATATACTGATCTATGGTATTAAAAAAAATTGACCTTTAATAAATTCCAAATTAATCATATCACAATATCCATTAGGTACTTATAAAGCGTTATACATCAACAACAAACCTTGATACTATCATAAAAAAATAATAGTGTACTTTAGAAGTTTCAAGTTCCCACGAATAATATTATACAACCACAACAAAATAACTAAAATAGTTATTCTAGGTTTTTTTATGTTTAGGTTAATTTGAACTTAAAATTAATATAAAAATAAACTGTGATTCTGTATTTTTTAGACTTTTTGGTAACAGAATTAACTACTTATGTGGAATCTTGTTTTAAATTTTCAATCCTTAGATATAAAAGTTGAACATTTTATACATTTTTAACTACAAAATAATTATTCAATTTTAAATTTGATAAATTTTGTCAAAATTTGATCTTTAAATGCTTATAAAAAATCTGTGCCTATGTATTTTTAATATTTTTCAACTGCTATTGTAACAATATATCAGGAGCCTTGTGTTAAATTTTTATACTTTTTGGCCCAACAGATAAAACTTTATTGATATTTATAGAAAAAAAAACTAAAAAACATTGAAAGCTGTAAATGTCCGTAAACAGCTGAAAAAGAGTCAAAATATTTTCAAAATTGTATGGTGTATAGTAAATGCTAATATAAACATTCAGTGAAATTTTAATGTACCTACAGTTATTCGTTTTTGAATTACAATAAAATAATAAAATCGCTACATGAGAAATCGAGTGAATATCCAATGTTGTAAAAATTTGAATTTCAAACGCTCATAAAAATTTAGTTTGACTTTCCGGTAGAGATTTTTTTATTGATAAAGGTAGACAAACTTATGAGTAATCTTGTATTACATTTTCAAATCTTAGATTTAAAAAGAAAAATTTTTAATACATTATAACAGCAACCACGGTATGTGCAATGTACAGCAGAACGTTACCAACCTACCCAATTTTTCTTTATAAATATAAAAAAAAATATTTGTATAATTTCAAGTTTGTAACATTTGAAATTGTTGAACTTGTTTTAATGTGCATTAATGTTTGTATGAATAATAAATATTTCAAAGAAAAAAAATTATTTTTTGTACAAATGACTAGGTACCTACCTACATTTTATCTTATTGATAAGTAGGTACCTACTTAATTTTACCAAACATTTTGAAAACACTTGCAATACTTGCATATTAATAATAAGTTAACAAAGGACTAACATTACAGCAAGAAATAACTGTATAAGACATAATATAGTATTTATTATTTATTAAATACATAATATAATTCCACAAGAAATAATTATTATGAATTTTTCAACCATAGAAATGATAAAATTATCCATAGTTTTAAGAAATCATTTTTCTGTAATTATATTTGTTGATAAGATACTATCATATACTTAAAAAATTAATGTGGATGGTAAAATTGTTAAACATAATTCGTTTTAGGTACTTATTTTACTACTAATTATTTCCAATATTATTTTACTAAAAACATTTTATAACCACTACAGATGTTACACAATACTCAAACAACTGATAAGTACTGCAGTATAATGTGTAGGTATTATATTATAATAGGTATGTGTACATTCATATTTTAATTTGTAAACATCTGAACATTATCATATTTTAATAGGTCTCATAGTCCGTATATTTGATATTAATAAATACATAATTTGTGTTTAATATATTATTAATTTTTAACACAATAGCTAGTTACCATTTATTTTAAGGAAATATTTTTTTTACAGTTAACCGATATCCTCTATATCAAATTATCAAATGCATTCATTATCCTAATCGTGGGTGGCACATTTGGTTTAGTTTTTTTTTATTAAATGACAACTTGTTGTTTGTTAGTACTTAGTACACATATCATGATATTTGAGGTAGTAATTCATGAAGTATGCAAAGTTACTTTATAACTAATAGTTTTTAACCGTCTATCTAATAATTTGTATCATCCTTATATATTATAAAAGAACAGGCCTGTTATACGTATCAATTTTCTGACGACACTATTGAACTTTTTTCCAATTTTTTCGAGTGATCTATTTTTTTTGATTCTATTGTTACTTACTGTACTGTAATCCGTTTTTATGTTTAAATATATATTTTTAATGCCTGTCGATTTCGATATATGTACGACGTACCTACCATGCACCGATTATATAAATAATCGTTTATGCACGCTGTAGTAAATAAAGACAGGCCTATTATTACTACATGAGTCACGATTAGAAATGTATTGTCTTTATGACTTTATATATTATCAAGATACGCCGATGACGTAATAACGTAGAACCAAATTTTAAGTGTGTTCATTTAAGACAATACCTACATTTCTAATCGTGACTCATGGTATAAAAATAAAGTGATCGGTGTTTTCCATACAACTCTCATGTATTTAGTATTAAAACTATGTATGTAACAACATTTTAATTAATCTGTAGTTTATTATTTCGGCCAGTCTTTATTTACGACAGCGTGCATAAACGATTATTTATATAATCGGTGCATGGTAGGTACGTCGTACATATCTCGAAATCGACAGACATTAAAAATATATATTTAAACATAAAAACGGATTACAGTTCAGTAAGTAAAATAGAATCAAAAAAAATAGATCACTTGAATAAATTGGAAAAAAGTTCAATAGTGTCGTCAGAAAATTGATACATATAAGTATATAACAGGCCTGTTCTTTTATAATATATAAGGATGATACAAATTATTAGATAGACGGTTAAAAAATATTAGTTATAAAGTAACTTTGCATACTTCATGAATTACTACCTCAAATATCATGATATGTGTACTAAGTACTAACAAACAACAAGTTGTCATTTAATAAAAAAACGAAACCAAATGTGCCACCCACGATTAGGATGATGAATGCATTTAATAATTTTATAATTTGATAAACCTAGAGTATATCCGTTATATTAATAACTATAAAAAAAAATATTTTATTAAAATTAATAAAATAATAATTATTGGAACCTTTTAAAAAGGTCCACGTCTTGGCCCGATGTTGACTCAAATTTTAAATCAAACGCATTTTTCAATATAATTTCATATTTGTTGACTCACGTAAACTATTCCCTGGTAACCATTGTAAATCAGTAAAATAAAATATATTTCTTACAAAGTGTGGAGGAACGTGATGTTATCACTGTTGCCTCCAGCTAACGTTCAAGTGCGTTTGGCACTCGAATGAAGTACAAAAAGTACAACGATTGTTTGTTTCGATTGACACTGACATTTTATTGGTTTATTACAACAACCGTGGCGCGTGCACGTCACTAAAAAGAAACAGTTTTTAGGAGCGCGAGACAAAAAAGGCGCTTTACAACACTCGTAACGAGTTGATCGAGGGACGGTCGGTCACGAGGCGTTGCGCGTGGTGCGAAAGGAAGAAGCGGGCGTCGTGGTATGACGTATCGGAAGAGAAGAAAAATAATGGTATCGGAGACTGTGTCACGGTGTGTAGTGTCGGGTACGACGGTTACGTAAAAAAAGGGATGCGCGTCGGCCGCCGCCGAGGCGCGGGGACCGGCGCGAACACATTGTGACCAACCGTCTTACAGTAGAACCGACGGAAAACGGAGGTTATGTGGCGCCGGTTCGCCACATTACTCCCCCCCGACGAATGAGAAAATGCTGCAAGTATTTTCGTAGGTGAGTGGTTTACCATCGGGTGCCTGGCGTATGAATGGTCCGTGATTGGGTCGTCGCGCAGGACGAAGGCTGGCTTGAGTCGGTCCACTGATACCCATGACGTCCGGTTGCCCAACTGAAGCTTGAAATCTTTCTCCCGTCTCTCCAGTACAGCGTAGGGTCCCTCGTACCGAGGTTGTAGGGGGGGGGGGGCGCTGCGCGTCGATGCGCATGAAGACGTGACTGACGGCGTTGAGCTGCGTGGGCATGAAGACTCGGCGGGCCGGGTCGTGGTTGGATCCGGGAGACGGTCGAAGCTCGGCCATGGACGTCTTAAGTGCCGTGACGAAATCAGGAGACTTTACCTCCGGAGGTGCGGCGTGGAACAGCTCACCAGGGAGTCGAAGTGTCGTCCCGTAAACGAGCTCGGCCGGTGTCGAGCCGATGTCTGGTTTTATGGTGTTGCGTAGGGCCAGAAGGACGATGGGCAGGCGCTGGGACCAATGCGGCGATTCCTGCGCGGTGAGCGCCGCCTTGAGTGCCCTGTGCAGGCGTTTAACCAGTCCGTTGGCCTGCGCGTGATACGGGGAAGTGCGGACGTGCTGAATCCCGAACGTGGAATGAAGCGCACGCATTAAGTCGGACTCAAACTGCCGCCCTTGGTCCGTGGAGATGACGTCCGGCACTCCGAATCGGGCGATCCAATTCGCCACTAGCGTGGACGCGACGGTGTGGGCACACATGCTGTCGACTGGCCAAGCTTCTGGCCAACGAGTGAATCGGTCGATACAGGTAAGTAGGTACTTGGCGTTGCCCGAAACCGGTAGCGGGCCAACCAAGTCTAGGTGGATATGTCCGAAACGCCGGTCAGGTGCTGCGAACGTCGCGAGCGGCGCTGCGGTGTGTCTATGCACCTTTGATTTTTGGCATTGTTCGCATGTTTTAACCCACCGCCGAATTTCCCGGTTCATTCCAGGCCACACAAAACGTTTTGCGATTACAGCGGCTGTGGCCGCGCCGCCGACGTGCGCCTGGCGATGTAAGGTGTTAAACACGGCGCGTCGATGACGAAGTGGAACGAAGAGTCTCGACCTGTTGTATGTTATGTCGAAGTAGACTGGCCCGTTCGCCGTCTGCCGTGCGTCCAGCTCTAAAGACGACTTTGTCTTACCGGTGATTATATATTTATATCTTGCAGTTCGGTGTCTCTCGCTTGATCCGTTGCCCATTGTTCGAGGTCGGGTAGTCCATCGTCGAAGGTCGCCAACTCCAGTCGCGACAGTGCGTCGGGAATAACATTGAGCTCGCCGCTGACGTGCTCGATACCGTGGAAATACTGCGACAAAAAGGTAACATGACGGGCCTGCCGGTCGATCAGCTTTTCGGACTTCTGTGAAAACATGAACAGCAATGGACGGTGGTCGGTGTGGAGGGTAACGAGTCTACGTTTCGCGTGTACGAAATGTCGCGCGGCGAGGTAGGCGGCGAGCAACTCACGATCGTACGGGCTGTACCGTGTCCGTGCGCCGGAAAGCTTGCGCGAAAAAAATCCGAGCGGTTGCCACTCGTTATTGACGGACTGCTCCAGGACCGCCCCGATCGCGATGTTCGATGCGTCCGTGGTAAGGCGTAACGGTGCGTCGTGATGCGGGTGCACCAAAAGCGCGGAGGTAACGAGCACCTCTCGACAGGCTGAGAATGCTTCCCTGTCTGCATCGGTCCACGCGAGCGGGCCATCGTTTTTTTTAATCGCCGCGGAAATGTCATACAACGGCGCTTGTAAGTTGGCTGCGCCCTGGACGAATCGGTGATAAAAATTCAAGGACCCGAGAAAACGTTGCAACTCTTTTTTGGTGCTCGGTAGGGGCCACCTCCGAACCGCGTCGACGCTGTCCGGGTTGGGGCGTAACCCCTGCGCTTCGACTACGTGCCCAAGAAACGTGGGCGTGCTCGCGGCGAAAACGCACTTCACCGGGTTAATAGCTATACCGAACTCTTCAAAACGGCCGAGGACCACGAGGACGTGTGCGACGTGTTGTTCCGCGTTTGCGGACGCGATGAGGACGTCGTCGACGTACGCGAAAACGAAGTCGAGGCCGGCGAGAATGGTGTTTACTAACCTTTGGAAGGTCTGTGCAGCGTTGCGGAGACCGAAGCACATTACTGGAAACTCGAACAGGCCGAACGGTGTTGTAACTGCAGTTTTGTGAATGTCGTCGGCGGCGATCGGGACTTGATTGTAGGAGCATACTAGGTCAAGCTTGGTAAAAAACGTCTTTTTCGCGAGGTTCGCGGTAAAATCATGCAGGTAAGGCAGTGGGTAGCGATCTGGAACGGTGACGCTGTTCAGTCGACGGTAATCGCCGCCGCACGGTCCGAAAGACCCGTCCTTCTTGGGTACCAGCAAGAGAGGGCTAGCTCACTCGCTGGATGATGGTCGACAAATACCTTGTTTTTGCATAAGTTCGAAATCACGGCGAGCGATGTCAAGGCGATCAGGCGGCAACCGTCGCGGACGCGCGAATAGGGGCGGTAACTTTGTTTCGAGGCTGTGCTCAACTCCGTGGCGGAACGATTCAGGGACGGGCGACTCACGGGTCACGCTTGGAAAGTCCTGCAGTAATCGGTCCCAATCCGGGGCGCGTGCGACGGTAAGCAGAGGGGTGCCTGTCGACGGTGTGGAGGTCACTGTACAGGTGACCGCTCGTTTGTCGGTGGGATCAACGAGGCGCTGGCGTCGAACGTCGACGAGGGGGCCGAAGTAATGTAAAAAATCGGCGCCGATGATGGAGCGTGAGACGTCGGCCATCTCGAAGGTCCAGGTGAAGGTGCGCGATAGCCCGAGGTCGAGGTTGAGCGTTTTCGGTCCGAACGTCTTGATCCTGGTTCCGTTGGCAGCTGTGAGGTGCACGTCGGACGGTTGGCGCGAGCCGTAAGTGTGCGGTATCACCGAAATTTCGGCGCCCGTATCGATGAGTAAAAGCTTGCCGGAACGATGATCGTTAATGTGTACCCGCGTAGAATTACTGACGACTTACAGGGCGGGTGTCCTGTGCGCGCTTTTCAGTTTTCCGCAGCCAGGGCAGCGGAGTTTTCCCCGGATTTCGGCTTGAAATTGCAAGGAGGGCGACAAGTGCGCGCTCGGCTCCCGAACCTCGCGTGGTAGTAGCACGATTGAGCCGGCTGTTGTACGTCCAACTGCGTAGGTGCCCGTGGTTGCTGCCGAGATGGCTCTCCAGCCGTGCCGACCATCTTAGTGAGAGACTGGACCTGGAGGAACAACGCGGACACTGCGCCGGCCAAGTCGTTGAACTGTTCCCTTGACAGCACGTCGATGCACTGCTGGTTGGATGCTTCTAAAACGCGGTCCGCGCGCGCAGCCAGTTCGTTCAATGGCGCGTCAAGGCTGGCGAGGATGGCTGTGACGTTCGACGGGAGCTTTTGGAGCCAGAACTCCTTCAAGGCGTCTTCGCCTAAGCTGGGTGGCATGCTGCTGCGCATGTCACGAAGAAGTTGCGACGCGCGGTCGCCGGTCGCCCAAGCCCCCGGGTTTGACGATTTCGCGGAAACGTGCCGCCTGCGACACACCGTAGACGTCGATGAGGCGAGAGCGCACGTCGGTGTACGAAGCGGCCGTAAGCAGGAGGTCGCCGATGTTTCGCACTGCCTCTTCGTCAAGGGCTGCGACGACAAAGTTGGTTTTACTCGCGTTGGAGGTAATGCGCTGAGTCGCGAGTATGGATTCTGCGTAGCTGAACCAGAGCGCCGGCGACTGCTTCCAGAACGCCTGAAGCCGCACGTTCGACACCGCGTCGACGGTTGGGTTCGCGTTGGCATTGGCCTGCTCGTCGTCACCCATGGTGATGAGCGCGGGAACTAACGGTGAGACCACGTGGTCGGGAAAACGTAAAACTAGCGGTCTCGGCGTTGCGGTCTAGGCGAGCTGCCCGGAGCCGCTCTAACTGGCTCAACATTGTTCACAAGAATTAAATTCCGTTGATAGTTGTTCATTATCGACTTAAATAGTTAAACGTCACATTCAGTATTTTTGTACTCAGTTACCAATCAGTTTTAATTTAAAATGGTCAATAACGAGCTAGTAAAAAAGCGCACAATCATCGCAGGTGCCACATTCATAATTTTGAATTCACTTATCAAAAAAAAAAAAACAAAAAAGACGTTGGTGGATCACTCAATTGTTTAAGAACAGGGATGAACATGGTGGACTAAGTTTAATTAATGATTTACTGTTTCAAGAGAGTGGACAGTCTGAAAATTTCGTCCACAAGTCGAAAAAAAAACCACGCGTTGGAGGAAACCCATAAGTGTAGAGGAAAGATTAGCCGTGACTTTACGTTTTCTGGTCACCGGGGACTCGTATACTAGTCTACAATACACATTCAAAATCTCAAAGTCTACAATATCTAGTATCATACCAGAAATATGCATTGCATTGACAAAAGTGCTGTCAGACTCGATTTTCTATAAATATCAATAACATTTTATTTGTTGGGTAAAAATTCTTGAAAATTTAATAGAAGGCTCCTAATATATTGTTTCAAAGGTAGATGAAAAATATTTAAAATACATAGACACAATTTTTTTATAATCATTTAAAGTTAAAATTTAAATGAAATTTATCAAATTGAGTATTTACAAATTATTTAGTAGTTAAAAAATTATAAAATGTTCAACTTTTATAGCTAAAGATTAAAAATTTAAAACAAGGTTCCACGTAATTAGGTTATATATAAATCACTTTATTCACAATAATATCATCAAATATACTTTGTAATATCATAGGCTGACTGACCGTCTTCGCTCAGAATCGTTTTTCGTATACAATGATATTATATCATTGAATTCAAATTTAATACCATCCATTATACAATGACCTACTGTACAGCAGAGCGACATCAACTTGCCCACCTTTTTTTTTGTTGCATATATTAGTATTTTTAGTGCATTATTACCAACCTTTTTTAGAGCTATAACTTATTAGCCTTGATTATTATTAATGATATTTTTTTTGAAACTATAATTACAGTCAATAAAAATATATTGTATAAAATGTAATATAAACATATTAGGTATATAATATAATATAATATATATTAATATTTATATATGTGATTTCATATATACGGATATACAGTGGCGTCGAAGTTTTTAAAATGTGGTCGGGCAATTTTAAAACTTCCCGGCCTCAATATCTTAATTATTTAATATAGAGGTACCCTAATATAAATTTATTCATAATCACGGTTTAAATTTACTCATGCTTATAATGAAGTTATGATGTAAATTAAATATGGCCGGCCGGCCACATTTTTCAAAAAAGAGGTCGGGCCACGGCCCGACGTCAGCATGGACTTCGGCGCCACTGCGGATATATATAACAAAGACAATTTAAGTACATACCTATAATATTAATATTTAATATATTATAATTATCAGTCACATAAAATGTGCATATTAATTAATTGTACACACTTTAAAATCAATTTTAATTAATATAATATATTAATATGTGCAAGTATAAATATAAAAAAAAAAAATAGAAGCCTTTGGTTAAAAAAACTAATATGTTATATATTTTATTGGTGTATACCTATACTATACCGTCCATACAGTTCATAATGTTGTGTTTAACCAGATACGTAATTAATACGTAACTATTACATATTATTTTTGTAAATAATTGTATTATAAATAATAATTTTATTAATTGTTGAAAATTACAACAACAAAAAAGGTGCTCTGCTGTACAGTAGGTTACAAGTGGGTCACTGTATAGTGGATGGTATTAAATTTGAATTCAATGATATATTATCATTGTATAAGAAAAACGATTCTGAGGGGAGACGGTATGTCAGTCTAGGTATAATACATATGATATACTAATCTAAGGTATTAAAAAATATTGACCTATAATAGGTAGGTACCTATAATAAATTCCAAATTAATCATAGCACAATATCCATTTGGATAACTTAAAACGCGTTATACCTCAACAACAAACCCTGATACTATCATAGATGTATAATAGTGTACTTTAGAAGTTTCAAGTACCCACGAATGATATTATACAATCACAACAAAATAACTATAATAGTTATTCTAGGTTTTTTATTATGTAATTTCGTCCAAAATTGAAATTAAAATGACTATAAAAATAACCTGTGATTATGTATTTTTTTGATTTTTTGGTAACAGAATAAAATTTAACTACAAAATAATTGTTCAATTTTAAATTTGATAAATTTTGTCAAAATTCGATCTTTAAATGCCTATAAAAAAAAAATTGTGCCTATGTATTTTTAATATTTTTCAACTGATATTGTAACAATATATTAGGAGCCTTGTATTAAATATATACTTTTTGGCCCAACAGATAAAACTTTATTGATATTTATAGAAAAAAAAAATTATGAAATTGAAGACTGAAAATGTCAGTAAACAGCTCAAAAAGAGTCAAAATATTTTCAAAATTGTATGGTGTATAGGAAATGCTAATATAAATATTCAGTGAAATTTTCATGTATCTACATTATTCGTTATTGAATTACAACAAAATAAGGAAATCGCTACACGAGAAATCGAGTGAATATCCAATGTTGTAGAAATTTGAATTTAAAACCCTCATAAAAATTTAAATTGACTTTCCGGTAGAGATTTTTTCATTGATAAAGGTAGACAAACTTATGAGTTATCTTGTATTACATTTTCAAATCTTGGATTTAAAAAGAAAATTTTTTACGAATTCTTAACTCAAAATAATTTGCTAATTTTCGTGATTTTTCCATATTTTGTCAATTTTTGAACTTTAAATGCTTATAAAAAAAACTGTGACTAAGGATTTTTAATAGTTTGCATTTGAAACAATACTAGGAGCCTTCTATTAAATTTTAAAGCTTTTTTATCCAACGAATAAAATTGTATTGATATTTTTAGAATAAAAACTAAAAAAGGTGGGTAAGTTTATGTCGCTCTGCTGTACAGTAGGTTACAAGTGGGCCACTGTATAATGGATGCTTTTAAATTTGAATTCAATGATACAATATCATTGTATAAGAAAAACGATTCTGAGCGAAGACGGTATGTCAGTCTAGGTTTAAGACAAATTATATACATATCTATGGTATTAAAAAAAAAATTGACCTATAATGAATTCCAAATTAATCATATCACATTATCACAATATCCATTAGGTACTTATAACACGTTATACATCAACATCAATAACAAACCCTGATACTATCATAGATATATAATAGTACACTTTAGAAGTTTCAAGTAGCCACGAATAATATTATATAATCACAACAAAATAACTAGGTTTTTTAATATGTAATTTCGTCCAAATTTGAACATAAAATGACTATAAAAATAAACTGTGATTGTATATTTTTTAGATTTTTTGGTAAGAGAATTAACTACTTACGGGGAATCTTGTTTTAAATTTTCAATCCTTAGCTATAAAAACTGATCATTTTATAATTTATTAATTACGATGATTAATAATTTTCGAGATTTTGAAAAATTCTGTCAAAATTCGATGTTTAAATGCTTATAAAAAAAAATTGTGCATATGTATTTTTAATATTTTTCAACTGATATTGTAACAATATGTCAGGAGCCTTGTATTAAATTTTTACACTTTTTGGCCCAACAGATAAAACTTTATTAATATTCATAGAAAAAAAAACTAAAAAAATTGAAAAATGAAAATGTCCGTAAACAGCTCAAAAAGAGTCAAAATATTTTCAAAATCGTATGGTGTATAGGAAATGCTAATATAAACATTCAGTGAAATTTTCATGTATCTACAGTTATTCGTTTTTGAATTACAACAAAATAAGGAAATCGCTACATGAGAAATCGAGTGAATAACCAATGTTGTAAAAATTTGAATTTCAAACGCTCATAAAAATTTAATTTAACTGTCCGGTAGAGATTTTTTTATTGATACAGGTAGACAAACTTATGAGTAATCTTGTATTACATTTTCAAATCTTAGATTTAAAAGGAAAAATTTTTACGAATTCTTAACTCAAAATAATTTGCTAATTTTCGTGATTTTTCCATATTTTGTCAATTTTTGAACTTTAAATGCTTATAAAAAAAATTGTGACTAAGGATTTTTAATATTTTTCATCTGCCTTTGAAACAATATATTAGGAGCCTTCTATTAAATTTTCAAGCTTTCGCAACCAACAAATAAAATGTTATTGATATTTCTAGAAAAAAAACTAAAAAAAAAATGAAAAATGAAAATGTCCCTAAACTGTTCAAAATAAATCAAAATATTTTGAAAATGTTATCGTGTATAGAAGATGCAAATATAAACAACCAGTGAAAATTGCATGTACCTACGGTCATTTGTTTTAAAGTTACACCAAAAACCAAATTCAATTTTCTGAAAAATCGATTTTGCGTAAAAATTCCCGTTTTTCCTTAATTTTTCTTTTGTTTTTCTTGGCGCTTTTGAAAAGTACTGGGAATTTAAAATTTTGACCTCCCCAATGCACCAACGATATTCACTTTCCAATCGAACAAGATACTGAAGTCGAAAATCGAAGCATTATTTCGACTACTTATCGTGTACACAGATACAAAAAAAATTAAAAAAATTAAAAAAAAACACACATCATTGTAAAATCAATACATTCATCGTTTCACTCAGAATCTAAAAATATGGAAAATGAAAATGTCCCTAAACAGTTCAAAATAAATCAAAATATTTTGAAAATGTTATCGTGTATAGAAAATTCATATATAAAGAACCAGTGAAAATTACATGTAGGTATATACGTTTATTTGTTTTAGAGTTACACCAAAAACCAAAATCAATTTTTT